TTGGGAATTCTTAGATCGTTTTGTAGTCGTTTTCGTGGACGACATTCTGATTTATTCACCTTCGGAGGAGGAGCACGAGGAACACTTGAGAGTGGTGCTCAAGTTGCTTAGAGCCAATAGGCTGTATGCCAAGTTTGGGAAGTGTGAGTTCTGGCTAAGAGAGGTTAAGATCCTAGGCCATGTGGTTTCCGGGGAAGGGGTGTCTGTTGATACATCCAAGATAGAGGCAGTGCAGGATTGGACACAACCTAAGAGCGTTTTTGAGATCCGCAGTTTTCTGGGATTAGCTGGGTATTACCGCCGTTTTGTGAAAGATTTCTCTAGACTAGCTTCGTCGTTGACTAGATTGACGCGGAAATGGGTCAAGTTTGTATGGAGTGAGACTTGTGAAAAGTCATTCCGAGAGTTGAAAGTTAGATTGACCACCGCTCCTGTTTTGATTATCCCGGAGAGAGGGTTGGGTTATGCGGTTTATTGTGATGCCTCATGAGAGGGTTTGGATTGTGTGTTGATGTAAGAGGGGAAAGTGGTAGCCTATGGCTCACATCAGTTGAAAATACACGAGAGGAATTACCCTACACACGACCTAGAACTAGCAGTAGTAATTTTTGCCTTGAAGATTTGGAGGCACTACCTTTATGGTGAGAGATTCGAGGTGTTCTCAGATCATAAGAGTTTGAAATACCTGTTTACATAGAGAGACTTGAATTTGAGGCAGAGGAGGTGGATAGAGTTCATTGAGGACTATGATTTCAAGTTGCACTATCATCCGGGAAAGGCCAATGTCGTGGCCAATGCCCTTAGTAGGAAATCCATTAGTGATGTAGCTTGTATAGCCATCCGGGAGTGGGAGATGTTGGGCGCACTTGGCGAGTTTGATTTGCTTCTGGACGAATCCGTTGAGGCTGCGACCTTGTTTTCTTTTATTGCGCAGCCTACACTTGTGACTCGAGTGTTAGAGGCACAGGGAGGTGACCTTGAGGTAGAATCCCTCCGGGAGAAGATCTCCAGTGGGAAAGTTGAAAAGGGTTTGATGGTGTATCCCGACCTGAGTGTGAGATACCGAGACTGTCTGTTTGTGCCGGAGTTTTGCTAAGAGGAGGTACTCCGAGAGTTTCACCATTCACGCCTTGCGGTGCATCCGGGAGGCACCAAGATGTATCATGATTTGAGTCATCAGTTTTGGTGGCGGGGTATGAAGAAGGATGTGGCAGTCTTCGTATCAAGGTGCCTTACTTGTTAGCAAGTGAAGGCCGAGCATCAGAGGCCAGCGGGTTTGTTACAACCCTTGCCTATTGTCGAGTGGAAGTGGGAGCACGTCACTATGGACTTCGTTGTAGGCCTTCTGAGGACTCAACGGGGTAGTGATGCTATTTGGGTGGTTATAGAACGGTTGACTAAGTCGGCGCACTTTATCCCTATGTGTGTAAGAGATTCTGTAGATCATCTTGCCGACTTGTATATTCGGGACATAGTGAGGTTGCACGGGGTCCCAGTGTCGATCGTCTCAGATAGAAATCTACGTTTTACTGCTAGGTTGTGGTAGAGTTTGCAGAGTGCCTTGGGCACTAGATTGACCTTTAGCATGGCGTATCATCCTCAGACTGACGGGCAGTCTGAGCGTACTATTCAGATCCTTGAGGATATGCTTCGAGGTTGTGTCCTTGACTTTAGTGGGTCGTGGGAGAGGCACTTGCCCTTGGTGGAGTTTGCCTACAACAACAGTTTTCAGTCGAGTATCGGTATGGCACCGTTTGAGGCCTTGTATGGCCGACCGTGTAGGTCTCCAATTTGTTGGGTCGAGGTGGGTGATTCACCTTTGTTGGGCCCGGAGTTGGTGAGGGAAACGACGAAGAAAGTTGAGCTTATTCGTAGGAGGCTTGTTACAGCCTAGAGTCATCAAAAGAGTTATGCCGACGGTAAGAGGAGGCCTTTGGCATTTGAGGCGGGTGATCATGTTTTTCTGAAAATATCACCTAGGCGGGGTTTGATGAGGTTTGGGAAGAGTGGGAAGTTGTCCCCTCGGTTTATTGGCCCTTTTGAGATCCTTGAGAGGATTGGCGAGGTTGCCTATCGTTTTGCTTTACCACCACAGTTGTCCGGGGGTGCATGATGTGTTTCATGTTAGTATGCTTCGGAAGTATGAGCCGGATCCATCGCATGTTTTGGATTGGACCGACTTAGAGGTTGATGAGAATGCCTCGTATGAGGAGAGACCAGTTCGGGTCTTGGACAGACGGGAGCAAGTCTTGCGAGGCAAGACCATTCCCTTGGTAAAGGTTTTGTGGAAACATCACAGAGTGGAAGAAGCCACTTGGAAACGTGAGTTGGAGGTCCGTGAAAAATATCCAGATATGTTTATTGGTGTGTAAATATTGTAATGAGAATTTTGTAATATTGATAAACTTTAAGAGCATGGAATATGTCTTAAGTTGTAAAACATTGTAAATGTTTTGGTTTATGGAAATATATTTTGAAACTTGCCTTAAAATGGAAGTTAATTTTAACATTGTATATGTTAATGATGTTTTAGAAATGCAAATGTATTGTTGGCATTGAATATGTTTTGAGATACATGTTGATAATGCATGTTGGAGACTATATGGAAGTTTGCCTCTTGGATAGAGATGGAATGACTGGTAATGGGTCAAGTTGTTGAATTTGGCATTGTAATAATGTTGGTAATTGAGAAATCTTGTTTTTGAAAAACTTGTACTTAATTTCGGGGACGAAATTCCTTAAGGGGGGAGGTTATAGCGATCCTGGTTCTTCCTTCTTTGATTGTTGTATCCGGACTTAGGTTCCGTGGAGTTGGTTGTTGTATATATTTTATTGGTATCCTTTAATTCCATATATTTGAGTTTTAGGATGCATTAGGCGTGTTTCAAACAGGTTGGTTGAACTTTAGTCACATTCCTTGTTGCCCAGATTTTTGGTGGTTCGCTCGAGCGGGTCCCTTTGCGCTCGAGCGGAGTTTACACACTTTCAGCATTTTGTGCCTCTGCAAAACTTCTCCAGGTGCATTTTTCACGCTCGAACGGATTTCCTTACGCTCGAGCGGGCATCTTGGCACTCGAGCGGGTGTTCAATGTCTGTAAAAATACTGGAAGATGGTAATCTACGCTCGAGCGGATTTTCTTTTACGCACAAGCGGGTGCTATTGGATTTTGTGTCTTGGTGCTCGAGCGTGTCTTTTTGTGCTCGAGCGGGTCCAGTTTTGTGTGTTTGACGCTCGAGCGGGATAGTCGTATATCAGATGGCAACTGGGTGATTTTGAATCACTTTTCACATTTCCTTTCTCTCTCTTACTTTTCTAAACCCTCTTCTGAGAGCTCCTCTCTCTAGAATATATCTTCTCTCTAGGGATTGATCTAGCTTGAGTGATCTACTCCCTTAGTGTCTTTGCAAAGAGTGTAGAGCTTGGCTTGGGCTTCCTATCAATCCGAAAATCTTGGGTTTTGGAGCATTTCGGGATTTCTTCATCATCTCCTTTGAGTTTCATCTCTTGAGGTAGAGATTCCTACTCATCTTTATGAGCTTTAACATAAATGTTGAGCTTTTTGTATAAATGGTTTGATTTGGGAAGTTAGGGTTTGAGATAGGTTATATTAGAAAGAGGGGTTTTGTTATTTTGATTCAAACGTATGTGTTTTGGGTCTAAAAAGGTGCTTATTGTTGTTGTTGAGAATATTTGGACCATTGGGTCAATATTGAGAAAAAAAAGGGAAAAATGCCATGTTTGGGTATATTTGGGTCATTAGTGTAATTATTGACATTTATTATGGAAATATTAAATTGAGTTGGAAATAATGTAATTGGCTCATTATGAGATAGAATGGTGGAGTTGGAATCATTAATCACTCACCTTGGAAACTGTTGACAAATTATCTGTGGACATAATTATTATCTGTTTAGAAATAATTGCTTTGGGCTATCGGTGGAGGATAGTCTTGATTGTTGTAGACATTACATGATGATTAGGTGAATTAAAACTAATCAATTGGATATATCATTGAATATGACGGTTGAAATAATACATCAAAGTTATGTATTGGTTGATTATGTATATCATATGTGTTTATATACATTGTGTTGTGTAGGAGAAGATAGGGGATGTACTCCACGGTTTAGGAGGAGTTAGTGGGCTCCAAAAAAATCATGTTTAGTTGGAAAAAAAATTAGGTGAGACTAGCATTTTTTATGGCGGTTTAGATCACTAATCCTATGGCAGTTTTGATGTTTTTGTGTGTACATCTTGTACCTTTCATCGTTATCAATAAAGTTTCCATTTTTTTGTCGATCACAAAAAAAAAAAAAAAACAAAAAACAAAAAAACAAAAACTAATCCTATCCCCTGCTAGACAAAAATAACAAAGACTAATACCTCCACACTAGTAATTTCATCACTCACAATATTACTATAATCTTAATCCCAATTTGCATAATCCACCAATAAGCATGGCTTCAGGTCCTTTTGTTGGATCTTTACAATACCAAAAAAGACCTGGAGTAAATATTTACAAAAAAAAAAAAAAAAGTGGCAAATATTTTTGTTACTTCCACTAGGCGTGAAAATTGAATAAACAAAATTACAAAATAATGAAAATTTTACATTTCATTTTATTTTCTCTTCTCTTCTTCCTGCTTTCTTCTACATCCACTCCCTTCCCTACCTCTGCAACTTGCTGACCATTATCACCACCGCCCCTCCGCAATCACACCATCCCCCTCTCACTGCCCCCATCCACAACCACCAAATTATGATTCTCGAGTATTAACACAATTACATACACTCATTAATTAATCATAGTTTAACATCTAACATTGGAACACCCATGCATCCACTAATGTAACAAGCACTTGAAACCAATTTTTATCATTTAAAAAAAAAAAAAAATACTTAAACATGTTTAAAACATCCACAGTGGTACTACAAAGAGTGAATTAGATACAAGAAGTGAACACAAATTTTGAATACAAAAGATCCAGACTTCACTTAGTTTTCATCATATAAAATACACTACGATTCAATATTTAACACAAGTACTGTAGTTCTCTAAGAGTGAATTGAACATAAGAGAACACAAACTTTGAATATGGAAACCAGAGAATACAACTCTATTAGAGCACCCATAGACAAATTTTGATACATATCTCACTTTTATAACTTTTTGTCATATAACACACTTTAACAAATATTTTTTAACACATACGATGTGAATGGTCTAAGAATGAATTAAATACAAAATACAACACAAATTTTGAATGTTACAACTTTTTGTTGTATAATGCACTTTAACAAATATTTTTAATACACAACCAATGAGAATGCTTCCAAAGTGCCAAATTTGAGAGAACAAGACCAATGATGCATTTATTTTGCATGATCAATTGGTTTGCTTAATCCCAATTTCATTTTTGCAGTTTGGCCTGGAAACTTTGAATGTAGCCCTTCATTCTTCATCTAAGAATGCATATCATGCCAAAGCTGGTAGGTAGTAAGGATGTCATAACGCCCGCAGCCGCCCGCCCTTTTCAAATTTGGGTCCTGCTAGTCAAACCCAATGTCACATATTCACTTCATATAAACACACTAATGCGTGCAGAAAATCGTGAATGAAAGTGAAGATAGAGAGTCGTGTATAGTGAATGACAATTATTGATTTAGTAATTACTAACCAAGATGAATATTTGAAATAAATATAATATTGTGGATTATGTTTGGGAACAAAAATTGTATGATAAAGGGCTCTCAAAACAATCACAATTGCTATATTTTGTCAAAATCTTGATAGATAAAAATCTTGATATATAATCTTAACTGATTTGGAAAAATGGTCTCACTTGCTTTAAAAAGAAATCATAAATGAAATTAGGTGAATAAATTGTTGTTGATTCTACAGCAATCAACACTGTGAAAAAATCAAACTGATTAAAAAATTTTAAAACTCGACAATCATGGTTATGTTCATCTTTATTCATAAAGACAGATCTTAGATAGATAGGCTATTAAACCCATAAGAGATTACAAATTTTGATCTGAATCTTAATTTGATTATTTGGACAGTTAATTATATAAAAGTATTCTGGAAAAATTTTCAAAATGTGAAATCTACCAAAAATATATTTAAAATTAAAAAAAAAATAAGGAAGATGTATAGTTAAATCGAAATTGAGAGGCAGATAGAATTACCGGCTTGGCTAGAGCACTTGGATGTGGAGCGTCATAGACGGGCTTACAAGGCAAAGCACAAGAAATCATCTGATTCAATTTCAGCAACAAAAAGTCATCAAAAATCAATCACAAACAAAGAAATCAAGTCAAAATCACATATATGTAGGGATCATTACCAATACTCTGGTAAAATCGCTTATCCGCTGATTTAATCAATGGAATTTTCAAGACTCCATCTTCATCGTCATCTTGGTTGATGCTGCAGCTTCTCATCTCAGGCGCCATTGATGAGTTGTGATGGGTTGGGTATACAGGATCCCTAGGGTTAATATATATACACGGTCCCTAGGGTATCTTAAAAGAAAATAAAATAAAATAAAAGGAATCTCATTAAGTTTGATGAAATAACATTTGGATTCTAAAATTTCATTTTATTCAAGGGTCTGATTAATATTATACGAATAGTTTGAAAATAAAATAAAATTTCAAATGAAGTATGATTGTCACATTAGAAATTTTTATTTTATTATAGATCATAATTAATGGTAAGGTAAAATTAAAACAAAATCAAATAATTCAGGTATATAATTGATATCATTAAAAGAATAAAGGTTAATTTGCTTTTTTTAGTGACAATTTAGAGCAAAATAATATTTTCTATTTAAGTTTTTGGTAAGTATTCATAATTGCCATGTTTTTGGTAAGTATTCATAATTGTCAAGAAATACTCATTAATATCTTACGATTGTGATAATAAAAAAATATATTTTGAAAAAATGTTTTAATTTTTGTAAAATCTTTCAAAAAATGTTTTGAAATAAGTGAAAAGTGTTTAATGATTTTTCTTTTTTCATAAATTATTTATAAAATCGGTTTCTATTGTCTAATTGCGATGGAGATTATATGTTTCAAATCATATCAGAGCAAGGAGGTAATCTTCATGGTTAACATGCACCAAATTTGAGATGCTGATAAAATTTGGTCATCCGACAAAAAATAATGATTTAAAAAAAAATCAGTTTAAATTTTGTATATCGATAAGTAATGATTAGGATTGGACAACTTTCTCATTAAGGTTGGTGATGGAAAAAGAGTCATATTTTGGTTTGATAAATGGTATGGAAACATCTGTCTAAAAGATGAATTTCCATGTCTTTTCAGATTATCAACTAATAAGGAAGACACACTCTCTTTGTTTTATGAAAGAAGATCAACTTTAGGGGATTGGAATTTACCTTTCAGAAGAGCGCCATATGAGTGGGAAGAGATGGAGATTGTTAGACTGTCAAATGCATTATCCTCAGCCCTCTTGCTCGGGATTGGGGTGACTGACAACCCTATTTGGCTTGGTTCAAATTTAGGTATTTACAAAGCTACTGATGTGTATAATTTTTGCACTGGTTCTCTTGGCCTTCGTCTCATTATCCACAAATTCATTTGAATAAAGATATCCCTCCCAAAATTCAATTCTTCAGCTGGTTGGCCTGGAAAGATAGAATCAAATCAGTTGATTTTCTTCAAAAAATTGGGATCCTTGGTATTAATGCTTCCACTCAATGTGCTTTCTGCAAAACATAAACTGAATCAGCCAATCATTTGCTATTATGTTGCCTATTTTCTTGGAATGTTAAGGCAAAAATGATGCAGTGATAGAGGTTTTAATGGGTGATACCACGTTCAGTTGATAGTTTACTTCATTGGTGGATGGGTGGCAAGTTTAAAAGAGTGGAAAGAAGGATCTAGAAAGCTCTACCATTAATTGTTCTTTGGTCACTTTGGAAATAGAGGAATGAGTGTATTTTCAATGGGGTGCAACCTAATTGCTTTGAGTTGAGTAAGTTAATAAAGCTTAGGCTTGCATTATAGATCAAAGCCTCAGTAAAAGACTTTCATTACTCAGTGAATGACTTATTATTTAATCTTAGTCATGTGAGGGTCTGCCTTTGAGAGTGGCATTGTTACTTGCTTGCTGGTGCTTGGTTGCTATTCTTTTTCCTTTCTTGTATTTTGTTTTACTTTGGCATGGTTGGTTCCTCACCATCCTGGGATGGAGCTAGCATATGATTGAGCTCTCTTCTTGGTGCCAACCTAGTTGGGATCATCTAGCTTAGCTATGATGCTTTTTGCTCTTCTCTGCTTTATTGATGTTTGTGGTGTACTTTGTACTTTCCCTTTTATCAATAAAGATTCTTATTTTGCTGATAATAAAAAAAAAATGTAATGATGAGGGATTTTTTAGTTGTATAGCTCTACAACTCAACAACATTTATGAGAACGTCAATTATGAGTAGCTGCATACGTTTACTAAAGTCACGACGTTTATTGACACAGATTCATACAAGTGTCTAACATAAATGCTAGGAAAGAATCATTAATATAAGGATTTTTTATGCATTGCTCCTTCTAAAAAAAAATTGTCCAATTTAAGTTTTTGGCAAGTACTCATAAATGCTAGGAAAGAATCATTAATATAAGGATTTTGATAATAAAAAAGTGTTTTAAAAATAAACAGTTATATTTTTCTCAAGTTCAAATCTAAATTTCACGGTTATGTTCGGGCTCGTGAGGCCATTTCAAGTTCCGTTTTGATTATTTAAATCATTCATTTTATAGGCCCTTTATGTGTATTATCTATGAAAAAAATTAGATCGATTCGATAATCATAACATTTTTAGTTATCGTATTTGTTTCAAATAAATAAATAAATGATATACATAGAGAACCTTACAAAATGAATAGTTCATATCATCAAAAAGGACTTGTGGCCTTATAAGCTCGAGCATGATGGTCAAGTTCAGATTTAAACTTTACAGAAGTTCAATCCAATTTTAAAATAGTGCAAATTATACAAATCGTCCCTATAGTTTACACGACGTGTCAATTTAGCCCGTGTTTTTTAATTTACTCAATTTTTCTTTTTTATATAACGAATTGTGTTATAGTAGTCCAATAAATAACGGCTAGTAGGTTTGTTGGACGGAAAGTTGTCACGTGCTCAAACGATGTGTTAATTTGGTCATTATAGTTAGCACAATGTGCCAAATTAGTCTTTATTGTTTTAATTTGCTCAATTTTGACAGGAACTAAATTGATACATCATGTAAACTATAGGGACCATTTGCATAATTTACCCTAAAAAATATTGTCTAACTGGGATAGAGCTAGTATGTCTCAATCCAAGTTAGGGCGAGGATTGAATAGGCAAGCTTATCATGAAAAACATTTTGGATGATGAGGAGATTTGGTCACTCAGCTAGAAATGTGATTTATTTTAAAATTCAACTTAGATTATTTATTTCTTTATTTATTTGCTTTACATTTTTTATACTGGTAATGACAACTAAGTTAAGGATTTGAATTCGACAACATATATGAAAATGCCATTTATAAGTGATTGTTGATGTTTGCAAAATGTCATAAAGATAATACGACATTTATTGACATAGTTACATTTATTTGTCTGACACTATAACTTTTAAAAATCGAAATACAAAAACACAACTATATTATTTTTAGTGATTGACTTGTTTTAGTTTCATTTATTTTACTTTTTGAAACTGTATTAAGTTGTTGGGAATTTGCCCGTTATGATTTAAGATTGGAAAGGGATGGGATAACCGTTATTCCTTATAAATGAGGTTTGGGAAGGGTTGGTCGATACGAAACCCCCGTTGCTTAGGAACTAATTGATGTGGCACCAGTAATTGGCGGCTCATAAAACATTATGTTTATAAGGCAGTTGTGAGAAAAATAATTACTTACATTAAACACAAAAGAGGTGAGATAAATATCTTCAATATGAATAAAATTTAAAGAAAATTATGTAAATTTAACATTTGAGGTTAATAATTACAAAATGAAAGAGCATGAATAAAATTACTAAAATGCCCCTTCCATTTTTATTCCTTTAACTTCTTTCTCCCCATCTCTTCTCTCTTTTTCCTATTCTGTCTTTCACCATCTCCCATTGCTAGCTAGCCCTGACTTACCTCTCTTCGACCACCCACTATGCTTTCTCTACATTTTTCAAAAATTAATCCATATATACTTTTCCCAATTGCTCTTCTACCTTCCTCTACCCTTCCTAACCCTGTTAGTCCACTCACAACTCATTTCCACTCCATTTCACCCTCAACTCTATCTCCTACCTTAACCCTAACTCTAACCCCTATGCCAACCCCAGTTCCATTCCTCTCTACTACCAAACCTTGTTGCTTGCTTTTAAGCAGCACTCTCAGTCTCCACTATGGCCTATTCCTTCAAAAACAAAACCAAAAAATAGAGAGAGAAAGCGTGTATGTGTGTGTGTGTGTGTGTGAGAGAGAGAGAGAGAGAGACTCTGAGCAATTTATATAGTTTTCTTTGTATTTGAAGAATGAGAAAAATAATGTGTGTGTTTGGTTTGAGTTTTTTGGATTAAATTTTTTAAAAATACAGTTTTTTGTTTTTCGTATTTTTTTGTTCTTAGTGAATATTTTTGAAATTTTAAGCATTTTTTTTTTTTACTTTTTTAGATGCACCTTACTTAGATATATCTAAAAAGTAAAAAATTTGTGAAAAAATATTTTAAAAAATTAATAAATACATAAAAATACAAAAAAAATTATACTGAATTGTCGTATTTTTTATTTTTATTTTTTGTATTTAGTGAATTTTTAAAAGATTTTTTTCACAAAAATTATACTTTTTATGTGTATTTATGTTAAATGTGTCTAAAAATTTTAAAAATTGCTTAAAATATTAAAAAAATTCAGTAAAACAAAAAAAACACAAAAAATAAGAAAGTAGAATTTTTTGAAAAGTGTTTTTGATTTAGCAAAATGAATAATAATCTAAGCTATTTTTTTTTTTAAAATAAAAATCCTATTTCAAGTGGGGTGACCAAATCTTGTTCTCATCCTAAATGTGATGCAGGTTAAGCCTGCCTATTCTATCCCCGTCCTAAACTAGTTTAGGACGTACCATCTACATCCCAATTACACAATAGAAACCTAAGAAGCATAGATACAAACATGTGTCATGGCACGCATATGTCGATACGTCAATTTTTCAAAAAATACAAAACACAACTCATGGGGTCATGCATGAAATATAAAATTTTATATATTTATTATATATCATGTATATATAAAGTTATCATTCAAAGGTCATAAAAAATGCAATACGATACTTGTTCTTATAAATTTATATGGTTTTACTTTTATTATTATTATTATATATTAAGCTGTTCTGTTCATATTTGCAATTAGTTTCAGCCGTGTCTAATTTATATATACGTGTGTTTAAGCAATAGTTTCGTGTGTCCTCTAAGTGTTCGGGTCTTCAAAAAAATTC